CAGGCACTCCAGCCCCTTAGATTTTAGACTAAACATCCTCATTTCCTTACACTGCTTTATCATTGCCCTATTAGGATAGGGTCCCATTTATACTACTAAATGGGTACAGAATTTCAGGTAGTCTGATGACTGCAGATCAGGTCACCTGTGTTTAAGTGGAGGGGTGGGATACAGCTGTCACTCCGAGAGTGGGGGCGGGGAGGGGGGTTTACAAAAGAGAGCAAGGATGAAGGCAGAAAACCATGAAAAGCAGACAAAAGAACTCAAAAAGCGGGTCAGCTGGGGACAGTAACGAGTGAAAAGAAAGAGCCATGTATATAAAGTCTGTCGCCACCTTGCACACGATATCATTTCCCCAGGTGCTCCTGAGGATTAATGCCACGTGAGGGGAAAGAGGTCATGAATCACCAGTACCAGTTCCTCAGAAAACGCAGTGGGCTAGCCAGTAGCAACTATTTAAGATCACCTAGACTTGGTTGTTGCCAAGGGACATCACGGAGAAGTTCCGCTGTTGCCTTATACCACAGCGCCCCGCTCACCTTGCCAACCCAACGTCCTACAAGGCTTCCTCCAGACCTCAGCTCACCACCCATCTCCCTTCTTGCCTCTTTGAACTCCCTGGGCTCTCAGCAGCACTGGGTGGTCTGCCTGATACAGGCTAGTGTTCTACTTCACCCTGGGGAGGAGCTCAAAGCACCCATTGATCTGGTTCTGATTGTTTCCGTGTGCACCTTCATCTCCTTCCAGCTAGGTTTTCAAAGCACGCTGAAGGCGAGGGGACATGGCGTACACTTCCATATTTGGCACTGTCCTGGGCACATAACTACTTTGTTGAGTTACCAGTGAATTGAATTTGGCTTATCTCTACTGCCCTAAGCAATATATTGACGTATGTTTTTTATCAGACATTCAATAGGGGTTTTCCAACTAGATCAATCCACAAACACACTTATCAAATGCTCTGGGATAGAGGGGTGACTAATACGCCGTGGTAAGCATTGCACGAAAGGTGCACGTCAAGTACTTGAGGAGCACAGAGGGAGAAGTGATGGGAAGGCAGGTGTCCCTTCTTCTACACCCGCAGCAAGAGCAAATGTGGACTGTCAGGATGAGTAGGGCTGTCCAGGGGAGAATGAGGTGGGAAGGAAGGCTCTGGAGACTAAAGGAAGATGTGGTGTATAAGCAGAAGATGAGGGGCATTGTGTATTCAGGGGGTTATGGGCAGGCACGCAGCTGGGGAGCTCAGATGTGAAGGGAAGGATAAGCCACGAAGCTGCAGAAGGCGGCCAGGAAGGACCCCGTGTGCCTGGGTGGAGATAACAGGCGATCGGGAACCACTACATGTTTGAAGCAGGGGAGTAATCTGTCCTAAGATTAGTCTTTTAAAAAGATCACTGTGGGGGCGCCTGGGTGGCTCTGTTGGTTGAATATCCGACTCGGGCTCAGGTCATAATCTCACGGTTTGTGAGTTCGAGCCCCGTGTCGGGCTCGCTGCTGTCAGCGCAGAGCCTGCTTCAGATCCTCTGTCTCCCTCTCTCTCTGCCCCTCCCCATTCACTTGCTTTCTCTCTGTCAAAAATAAACATTAAAAAAAATTTTAAAAAGATCCTCTAGAATTGGAAGAGGATTGAAGGAGAGAGAAGTAGGTGGGCCGTTTGGGAAGCTGAGAGATGAAGTTGGGAGATGACAGGGTCAGGACATCCACAGTGGCAGCTGGTGTGGCCAACTCAAGCAAGAACTGTCTCCTCCTTTCTCAGAAGCCAATGACCCAGGCTGATGGAAACGTGTAGAAATGATCAGTGGCAGCCGCATTCTTAATGCTGTCTGACTTTTCAGAGAAGCGTGTAGAGGGAAACGGAATCACTGGAGGAAATTAGAACCAGGCAGAGAGAAGCCCAAATAATAGGATGTAACGGGAAAAGTCTAAGAGCTCAATTACAGAGGCACTTCAGGGATGGGAAGAACCGAGGCAGGGCGGCAACGTTCCGCAGTTACAGGACGCGGACCATTGTCAGCCTCACCCCGCACGTGTCATGTGACTTTGGGCAAATAACTTAAGCCTTTGGAGTGTCCATCTTCCCATCTGTAGGCTGAAGATAATACTGGTTACTTCTCTGGATTCTTATGAAGCTCATGGGATTAGGTATGCCTGTCGTCTATCAGTGTCGGCACACAAAGGTACCGAAGAAACAGTCTCCTGCAAAGTGCCAGGCATGGGCGTGGGGTACAAAGGTGTGTCAGACGCCGTTCCTGCCTCACAATGTTTACCGTTTAGTAGGGACAGAGGCCCATCGATGCCTAAATAACAATAAAAGGCAGGATCGGAGAAGCACTGATCAAGACTCAAGAGCATGGCGGGCGAGGGCTGGGGAGACAATGAGTATGTGAGTCGGCCGTTCATCCTGGAGGATCTAATCTAAACTGGACACAGAGGACAAGGAGCATTAGGCTGAAATGGGGAGGGTGCCTGGACAAAAGACATTCGCGCTGCGTTCACATGGGCCACTCTTAGCAGTTCCCGGGAGTCAGGCTCTCCGATGGCCAGAGTGTGGCTCTGGGCCAGCCTGGGAGCCTAAACGGAGCCATGGCTCTGCCTGGGGGCAGATAAATGCATCCCAGCGGGAGAGACGACTCCCAGAGGGTAGACTTATGGCAAACGGAAGGGGGGCAGTCATGACCATGGGCAGAAGAAATGCACTGATGCCATGGAGCGATGTGGCTTCGAGGAACCCCAGATGAGCCTGGCAGAAAAGGGGAAAAGGGAAAGGAAGAAAAGTCTTTGTGGAGACCTGTAAACTTGTGTAAATATCCCTGCTCTGGGCAAAGGCTTTCTTCCAAGCCATCAGCTGCCCGGCCATTGGGTCAGATGCCAACCCCCATTTCCTGGCAGAGGAGAGTGGGGATGGTGTGCAGGAAGGCGGGGATGGGGCTGAAGTGGGCATCAGATGAACCCAGTGCTCATGCATGTCTGCCACCTGGCTGCAAGATTAAGGTCAGCCAGTTCACTCCTGTCTGGGGCTTCATAACTGCTCCATAGCCAACAGAGGGGTTGGGAGGAAACACCTTCTGGACCGAGGATCAGGTACCTCCCTGCCTTCTGTGGCCACCCCTCTCCCAGATCTGTGGCCCTCCCTGGCCCAATGCAGCTACTCCCCCTAGGGCCACATCTGGAGTCCTTGTTTAAAGGTAAATGAACAAAGGGCACCTGGGTGGCTCAGTCAGTTAAGCATCCGACTTTGGCTCAGGTCATGATCTCATGGTTTGTGAGTTCAAGCCCCACATTGGGCTCTGTGCTGACAGCTGAAAGCCTGGATCCTGCTTCCGACTCTATGTCTCTCCCTCTCTCTGCCCTTCCCATGATCATGCTCTGTCTCTATCAATGATAAAAAAAAAAAAAAGGTTTAAAAATTAAAAAAAAAAAAAGTAAACAAACAGTCCTTCGAAGAGGGAGGTGTTCTCTCCAGGTATAAGCAGACGAGTTGAAAGAATACTTGGAGATGAGGATTATTTGGGAGAGAAACAGGACCATTACTGTAAGTATTTGGGGAATGCTACCCTCTACTTTTTCTGAAAGTAGAGTTGTGGCAGCATTGTTTTTGGATTTTTCGGGAGACTGCCTAAAATCATCTACTCGTTGGGGCACCTGGGTGGCTCAGCCGTTTAAGCACTGGACTCTTGATTTTGGCTCAGGTCATGATCCCATGGTTCGTAGGTTCAAGTCCCGAGTTGGGCTCAGGGCTGACAGCATGGAGCCTGCTTGTGGGATTTTTCTCTCTCTCTCTGCCCCTTCCCCACTTGTGTTTTCTCTCTCCTCAAAAAAATTATAATAAAATAAACTTAAAAAAACAAAACAAATAGAATCCTCTTCTCAGGTCATGATCCCATGGTTCGTGAGTTCGAGTCCCGAGTTGGGCTCAGGGCTGACAGCATGGAGCCTGTTTGTGGGATTTTTCTCTCTCTCTCTATCCCTCCCCCACTTGTGTTCTCTCTCTCTCTCTCAAAAAAAAATTATAATAAACTTAAAAAAACAAAACAAATAGAATCCTCTCCTCCTAAAAGAATGGGGATGATGCTCTGTTTTAAAGGAGACTCAATTCTCAGAATTACAATCTTTAAGCGATGTAAGTTTCCAGGGTGGAAGAACTGATGTATTTCTCCTCTCCTCTGCCAGGAATACTTCCATATTCTGAAGTCTCCCAGGGACCCGTTGGAAACAGCCTACCGAACAAATTGCATCTTTTCAAGTAAAACCTTAATGGGTCATAGATATTTACATCTAAGGAGGTGTCAGTTTGATATTTTACGATGCCGTAAACAGTTAGATTTTGCATGACTCCTGGCATCAGAAACTGCCATCCAAACTTTTCCAAATGGGAGCCACATGGCCACAGCCCCGGGTAGGATTAGGCCGCTTTGGACTTTGCTGCTCAGCAAACTATCTGAGCCCTCCAAAGAGGAAGCACTTGGAATATTTTTCTCAAATGTGGTCTGTTTTTTATGTGTTGCTTCTCCCCGATAATATTTCACAGGCTCCTTCGTGTTAAAAAACCAGCTTACGAAAACATTCAGAAGAGCGGCATATGGATGTCTGACTCGAGGGAACTGTAAAGGGAAAAAGAACGAACTCATTTCCAACAAGTGGGTTTTCCCCTCTCTCTACGCCCCTCTTCCTTCTTGGATGTCTCGGTCACAAATGTGGTCACTCTCTATGGGTCAATGCCATCCCTTGGGCGGCGGCTGGCTTTCCTCTCTTCCGGAAACTACTTCCCCGCACAGACCGTGTTCAGATGGGAGCTCTCGAGGGTGGCCGGCCGGGTGTCTTCCCCTTCTGACTCTCCAGACTGCTCAGTAGGTCCGTCCCCAGAGCAACAGGGGAGGGGCGAGGAGGTCAGGGAAAGGAACAGGGGTGGGGGGCCGCAGCGGGAGACCGGGAGGTGGAAAGTTAAACAGGGAAATAGACGTCTGAGCTGCTTCTCGTTGCTCTCTGAAGCCGCTGTTTACCTTGCACAGTGAGATACGCCGAACTTTCCACGGACCCTTTCTGGTTGGTGGCTGTACAGCGATAGACGCCTTCATCCTCTTCTGTGACTCTTTCAAGAAACAGCGTGCTGCTTCCTGGTCCTAAAATAATTCCTGAGGAGTGAGAGATGTTTACATTAGTGGGCCTGGGTGACAAACCAAAACAGCTACTTCTGTAATACAACCCCTTTCCTCTAACTATGCATTCAGACGAGGAAATCCGAGCTCTAGGCAACCTTGGGCCCGGCTGCCTGTTTGTTTTCTCTGGGTCCAGGCGTTTTAAGAGCACCTTCACCGCGCGGCAGAGCGCGGACCCCCAGTTCTGGAGATGCAGATCTGACCCAGGCAGAGAGAAGGGAGTCAGGGCTGCGACCCCCTGCATGCAAGAGCGACTGTCAAGGGGGCAGCACATGAATAACAACACCATTTGCTCAGTGCCTGCTACGCGTCAGCCCCGCACGAGATGCTTCACATCCTGACATGTACAACCAGCCGGTTGGGGCTTCATGGCTCCATTTCACAAATGTGGAGACAGGGATGGTGAGGTTATGTAACTTGACCAAGAGCGTGCAGTTGGGCTGACACACGTCCGGGGCGCGTGGGTCAAAGGGAGTCCCGCTTCACCTGCCAGAGTGGGGAGGAGCTGGGGCTGTGTCTTAATCTAGGCCTCACTGCTTCGAGCTTTGTCACTTTAGGCAGCCTACTTATTAAGCTTTCTATTTCAGTTCCTTCCACCTTAACGATGAAAAGGAAAGCGATTTCTACCAGGTGCGCGGAACATGAATGGCAGGCGCAGGGCTCGATAAATACAAGCAGATGTGTTACCCCAGGGCGCCACGGAATGGAAGAAGCACGATTTGCAGAGCCCAGCTTGAAGACCCCATAGCTTCAACACTAAGGACTATCAAGGACACCAAGTATTTATTGAGTACTTACTCTCTTAGTCTGTATTAAAGACTTTGGGGGGAGGGGAGGCGAAGACATGGCACCTGCTGGGGAGTGGAAATCAACTCCTACCAAACACACATATATTATCTCTCCCCCCTGCCCTCCCCCACACAAACAGGAAGTGTTTCATGAATGAGAATGAGTATATATAGCACAGCGTATGTATCCAATTAAATGCAAAGTCTGGGGTGGGAGAGAGACCAAGGAGAACGGTGTACACTGGAAGGCATCCTGGAGGAACTGGACTTTGAGCTGAAGTTTAAAGGATTATCAGAGGGGCGCCTGGGTGGCTCAGTCGGTTAAGCGTCCGACTTCAGCTCAGGTCATGATCTCGTGGTTCGTGGGTTCGAGCCCCGCGTCGGGCTCTGTGCTGACAGCTCAGAGCCTGAAGCCTGTTTAGGATTCTGTGTCTCCCTCTCTTTCTGACCCTCCCCTGCTCATGCTGTCTCCCTCTGTCTCTCTCTCAAAAATTAAAAAAAAAATACATTAAAAAAAATTTAAAGGATTATCAGAGGCACAGAGAGAAGGCAGGCCAGAGAATAGGCCATGCCACTGAAATGAATGTGTATTGAATGGCTATATTTTGTTAAGTTTAAATAGTTTCTATTTCCCCCGATTATAAAAGACATCCAATATAGAAAACTTGAGAAATACTGGAAAGCCTAAAGAAAATGTAAAACAAACCTACAGTCTTTCCTCTCAGATATTTTCCCTTTATTCTTTTTAACAACCATTCGTTCACTTGGGTGATATTTTTGAGCCCCTGCCATATACTGGCCACTTGTCTAGATCTGGTGATATCGTAATAAGACAAATGAATCCTCGCCTACAAAGGGCTCAAATTATAGCTTTGGAGAATTACAAATAAGTAATTTCGAGTAACAATAAAGTCTGTAAAGAAACTAACCCAGGTAGGGGCGCCTGGGTGGCTTAGTCGGTTAAGCGTCCGACTTTCACTTAGGTCATGATCTCGCGGTTCGTGGGTTTGGGCCCCGCGTCGGGCTCTGTGCTGACTGCCAGCTCAGAGCCTGGAGCCTGTTTCAGAGTCTGTGTCTCCCTCTTTCTCTGACCCTCCCCTGCTCACTCTCTCTCTCTCTCTCCTAGAAATAAAAATATTAAAAAAAAAAAAAAGAAACTAACCCAGGTGAAGGGGACCGTGGGTTATGGAGGGGGGTCAGGGAAAGTCTGAGCAGGGACCTGATAGACAGGGAAAATGAGCCATCTGAAGACCTGGAGGGGCGTTTGAGACATATAGGGAGGAGTGGCTCCAAAGTCCCTGGGGCAGGAATGAGTTTTGGGGACAGCGAAAAGACCGCTGTAGACTTCAGTTAGTAAGCAGGAGAAAGGAGGTTAGCAGGGCCTGATCATGAATGACCACAGGCCACGGTAAGTAAGGATTTAGGATTTTGTTCTAAGCACCAAAAAAAGCCACTGGAGAGTTACATCTAACTGCTCATGGCTATAAATAACAGTACAATTCACATCTTTAGGTGTAAAGATTTCTGTATATTTCGGATTATTTCCTTAGAATATGTTTTCAGAAAAGATGTATTAGGTCAAAAGCTCATGATCCTTATAACCACACTGCCTTCCAAAAAGGTTACACCCATTAACATGTCTACCAGCAAAGGAGAAGAGATTATTTTATGTCTCTCCCACCAGGAATGAGCAGGATCATCTAAAAAAAAAAAAAAAATACAAAACACAAACCTTTGCTGATTTGATAGATGACTTGTTAGCCATTTGTATTTTCAAAGCACTCGTTTGGAGCAGCTGACTAGAAAGGGCGAGCGCAGAGTGAGGAGAATTTGAAACCCCGGCCAAGCAGTTTCCATTTCAGTGGAGAAGGAAAGAGAGGCTCACAGAGATCTTTGAGCAGGGAAATGACCTAAGGAAAGCGATGTTTGAGGAAGTTTAGTCTAGAAGGAGGATACAGTGGAGGCTGCAGTGCAGGAAAAGGGGCATCTGGAGTCTAGCTCAGCAGCTATAATCCAGGCAGGAGCACTGAGGACCCCAATCTGGAGGGTGGGAAAGGAAGCAGTGAGGAAGAAATGCAAACAGACGCTTGGTAGAAACAACCTCCACAAGTTGCTCCCTCCTGGAAGCAGGAATGGACAGCGAGGAGCGCGAGATGGTTCTGGTCTTCTAAGCCCAGGAAACGGGGGAAAGCAGGAGACTCTGCTCGCAACCTTGGCTACAGCATTTCATGCCTCTGGGTGTTTTCCCCATCTGCATGATAAGAATCATACCTGCTTTGCCTATTTTATGGTGCTGTCTTGAGGACCAGCTGAGATAACTTAGGCAAAAGTTCTGGAAAGGGGAAGATATGGCACCTGTGGGAATCGTAGGAAGTAAAAGCATGGCTGGAGAGTGGGTCATCAGGGGCAGCGGCCATTCATGGAAGCAGCTATCTTTTACTCACGAGTGTCTGCGTCGCAGCAGACCTGACCTCTACCAACTTTCTATCGCTCAAATCCTGGCTTAAGGCTGCCACAATGAACAAATAAAGCCCAAGACCTTGGATTTCACTCAAGGAGACAGCAGCGTAGTTATGAAGGTGAAAACATAGTGCCAAGGATGCCGTGAGCTAACGCTGCCAGTTTCCTCTTTCATCAGGTGGAGGAGGAGACGGGGTGAGAGGGTGTCCCTAGCCAACCAGTGAGGCTCTTCTTCCCGACTGGCCCTCACACTACGCTCTGACAAGCAGTGCAGACATTGGCGTACCACCATCCATGTTCTCATTCTCTCGCTGTTTATTTCCCTTCTCGCAAACACAGGCCAGTTACTACCCTCACTATTCTTCTTCATCGCTCAAATCTGCCTGAACTCATTCGTAGTTGTGTCCCCTAGTTTCTTTAATGCCTTACCTTGTCGTTAACTTTACCTGACCTGGTCCCTATGATACAGGGGCTATTTATTCTAGTGAGGAGGTCACCTTCCGCAAAGGGCTTTCTTCTTAACTTTTTCATTGTGATTCGTTCCAAACATTTAAAAGTGCAGGAAAAACAGAACCCATGTGCCCACCACGAAGACAGTCAGATGTCAGCTTTTGGCCATGTTTGCTCTAGACCCCTCGCCTCTTTTTTGTGAATAAAATTCATAGATACTTTATTCCCTCTCTTCTTCTCTCCAGAAGTATCACTATCCTGAAGTCGGTATGTTATCATTCTCATGAATGTTTTTGTGTTTTTTCCACATAGGTATGTCCTCCATAGAATATGTAATATTGTTTCGTGGCTTTAAAAATTCTAAATGAATAGTGCCATACAGTATTTACTTTTTCTCAACTTTTCCTATTTAATGATGTGTTGATATTTATCTTCTTTGATGCAGATAGAGTTCATTGTTCTTCAAATGTTTATTCTGAGAGTGAGAGAGCAGGAGAGGGCCCATGGGCAGGAGAGGGAGGGGCAGAGAGAGAGAGCGAGCGAGCAGATTCTGCACTATCAGTGCAGAGCTGGGTGCGGGGCTCAATCTCACGGACCATGAGATCATGTCCTGAGCTGAAACCAAGAATCAGACACTTAACTGACTGAGCCATCCAGGGACCCCTGAAGTTCATTTTTAACTTATGTATAAAACTCATATTTAACTCACTGTATAAAAAAAAATCCACTTTCCCACTATAAGGTAGTTTTTGCCTTTTTGCTCTTTGAAGAAGGCTGCAATGTGCATCTGACACAGTCAGGCATACCTGGTTATGCACACATTTCCTTCTGCTGGGTCATAGAGTACACCGATTCTCAACTCTACCAAGAATTACAAAATTGTCTTCCAAAAGAATAATTTATACTTTCACCACACTGAGTACAAGCTGCCCTCTGCCATACTTCCCAATCCTCAGTGCTACCAGATGTTTTAATTGATGACAAAATGATGGGTCTGAGATCACATCTCGCTGTGATGTTAATCTATGTTTCTCTGGCTACCAGCTAGGTGGACACTTTTTTCCATTTTTGTTGGCCATGAAGGCTTCTTTTCCTGTGAATTACCTCTTCATGTCCTCCGTCCATTTTTCTATTAGCCTAGTTGTCTTTTTTGCAGTGATTTTGGGTTCTCTGTTTTGGACACTAATCTTAAGTTCCCCCCAACATTTATGAGCAGTCTTTTAAGCTTTGTTTCGTCAATTTTTAATACAAAAACTTTAAAAATTCTAATGTAGTCAA